TGGTTATCTTGAGGCTTAGGTGTGTCACAGAGTAAGACGTAAAGTTTTCAGTTGAAACAAATTTTGTAGTGGTCAAAAATTGGGGGTTAAGGGTTGCAGGAGGTGGAAAAATGTTGAACTTACCTGACGCCGCTGAACACGAATCTGAAGTCAAAACTGAGGGTCGATGGGCAATTATGAAATTAATTTAGACATTAGAATTATATTTTCTTTTTTGTATTTTTGGTGGATCTGCACGTCTCAGAGGTATCTCAAAAAATGCCAAAACCTTTCCATCTTAATTCCATATTCATCCAGCGACCTCTTATTCTGACTTCATATTCTTGTTTAGCAAAAAAAATAGATGGGAAAATATAGTAGACCCCCAAGCATATACCACTTTTTATTTTGTGGACCTGAGAATTACTGGCGTCCTGTCTACATAATCAATAAATATTACATTCCATGATAAATACTGACAGATTATAGTAAATACTGATTGTATGACATTTATCTTACTGTGCACAAGATTTCACGCGAATATAATCATTTTACTGGGTGCCCTATTTTCTTTGTTACTGTGACAAAAGGTCTCTTATTTTTGCACTTGGAATGAAATAGTTCTTGACTTTCTGTTTATCCCTCAAAACTCACTGAACTTCCAACTCCACCTACTTTATATACCCTGAAAACATGTGAAGATCAACTTTCTAGAAGACTCAAGAACCTTAAGAGCTTCCAGAATTACTATAACGAAAACAGACTGACAACATACCAATGGTATTCAATAGGTAACCTATTGAATAAGATACTTCTATTTTCTGTTATTTGTTCTGTAAACCGTGTGAATCCAGCCCTGACTGTCACCGGCGACCATAAATTCTCAAAGGAGCGTATTCCTAATTATTGTATCTAGAGAGAAGATAAGAATGAGCTAGACACTGCATATTTTATTGGTAATTAATTTCTTTCAGGACTCGCTTATACTTGCAAATCGTTTGCAAATTAAATTTATTTCAACCAGTGATTCTATGTGCGTACACATTTGCTTGTTTGGTTTTTTACTAGAATCATGGGAGTCATTAGGCTATCTTAGCTAATAGGATGGTTGACTGCAATAATGTTCTGCGTACAGCGTTATATACTAAGTGACATATAAATCCGAACACCCAGTTTAAATGGTTTTATTTTAATAAAAGTTGGTAAATGTATTTGTCTTACTGTAAATAACAAGTGAAAAAATTTTCAGCCTTATCAGTTGGACATTCCGGTTTTTATACTGCTTTTTTTTAATTCACTAACGCTCTAAAAATGAATATTTCAGCCGCAGTAAAGAATCAACCTTGGTGGATTTTGGTTCTTGACATCCTTCACGATCGGTTACGATACCTAGAGTACGGAGACCTGTACGATTTCTTCAACTTAGTGAGTTTGATAGGGGCCGTATAGTGGAACTTCGGGAAGCTGGACTTTCTTTTCGGGCGATTGCAGTTAGAGTGCAAAGAAGTGTAGACACTGTGGTTAGGTGTTGTCAGGCATGGCTTCGAGAAGGCCGTACGCAAAGAGCAAGGGGCACTGGACGCCGCCGTAGAACAACAGACCGTGAAGATCGCCGCCTAAGATTATTGGCCTTAAGGGACCGTTTCTCCACTACCAGGTCCATTGCAAATGAATGGTTTGCAGAACACGGAAGACCTATTGGCATGCGAAGTGTTTACAGACGAATGAGAAGTTTTGGCTTGTTTTCATACCGGCCACACTGGGTCCTCCCTTTAACTCGAGAACACCGACGTAATTGCCTTGAGTGGTGCAGACAACGGTCACTCTGGATCAGGAATGGAACAGTATTGTCTTTAGTGACGAGTCTCGATTTTGTTTAGGCATGCACGATGGTCGTGCCAGGGTTAGAAGACGACGTGGTGAAAGGAGGAATCCACAGTTTTTTGTTGAAAGACATGTTCATCACACTGTTGGAGTTATGGTTTGGGGTGCTATAGCTTATGGTTCCAGGTCACCTTTAATCTTCATCAGAGGTAACTTGAACGCGCAGCGTTATATCCACGAAGTTCTAGAACCCCATCTTTTACCCTATCTTGACACCCTGGCACATCCAACTTTCCAACAAGATAATGCCCGACCACATGTTGCAAGAGTCACAATAGACTTCTTTCAACATAATGATGTCACATTGTTACCATGGCCACCAAGATCTCCCGACTTATCCCCAATTGAGCACGTGTGGGATATGATGGGTAGGAGATTGCTCAATTTGCAACGTCCTCAAACTCTAGAAGCACTTCGAGAGGAGTTGGTGGTTGCCTGGAATGAGATACCACAGGAGGACATTGACCACCTGATCAGAAGCATGCCTAGGCGCGTTGGAGAATGCGTAGCACATCAGGGTGCATCCACACATTATTAAAGGTCAAACGGCTTTAAAGCAGTGCAATCATTTTGAAATTTTTATCATTTACTTATTATGCTTCATTAAGTACTTATACAAAATTTTATTAAAATAAAACCATTTAAACTGGGTGTTCGGATTTATATGTCACTTAGTATAAATTGTCTCTACCGGAGGCTTTCTAAGCAGTAGCGATTGCCTTTTATTAGATAGAAGTTGATCTGTGAAATCAGAATAATGGGTAATGATATCTTCTTCTGACGATCCATTAAGAAAATTTGTCAAAGACTCCTGTGTATCTCTACCAAAACCCATTTCTGAAGTAAACCGGATGCGTAGCTCACGAATTTGATGTCAGTTTTCCACTGAAGCCAGCGGAAGGTCCCCAAAAGACTCAATTCCTACTTAAAAAAGGGCTTCCCAAGTACCACACACATATTGTCCCACTATATGAACAATATTACGTAAGACAATGACCCAAAAATGTGGACATTTGGATACATTGGTGCAATATCGATTTGCAATATGAAACCAATATGGCCTTTCTTTATGGGCTCAATATTGGTTGCATGACAATTTGTATATTGTCAAAATCAATTATGTTAAATAATTTGTTGCAATGTTTATTTACATTATTGAAGCAATACTTCTTTTTATATTGCCTCAACATCAATTTTCTATGGTTGTATCTTGCCTATTGTCTCAATCAATGATAAAAATATTGTTTCAACGTTGATTTACAATATTAAGCAAGTACATCTATGCAGGGAAAATATTTCACAAATATTGCACTTCCGCTATCAATACAATATCGTATCAAAATATATCCGCTATATTGTACTTACGAACGTAATTACGATATTGTTCCAATATTCTCCAACCAATACCGCAAAATAACATATTGATACAATATAGCCCGAGAGATAAAACACAATGTTGCACTTTCCAGACTTCAGCCAATATAGAACAAACTCAGTTTTATGAATATCCACTGAACGATTAACAAACACCATAGTAATAGTAGTAATATTGATTGACAATGTCAGTGTTATATAGATGGAGAAAATATTAGACCAATATACGTTTTAACAATATTGTATTTTCGCAATAAATACAATATTGTGCCAACATTTATCTGTAATATCTTATTTACGAAAGCAATTAGAATACTGTGTCGATATTCTTCAATACAATACGCAAAATAAAATATTGGGCCAATATATGCCAAAAGTTAAAATTAAATGTATTTTCCAAAGTTTAGCTAATATAGGACAAATTTAGGATTATGAATATTCGCTGAAAGATCAACAAACATTGGAGTAATATTGGCCGACAATATTAATGTCATATAGGAAGAAACAATATCTGGCCGGTGTGTTTTAACAATATTGCACTTCCGCTATCAATACAATATTCACCCAACATCTACCTGTAATATTTGCAATGAGTATTAATATGGTAGAACTAAGCTTTTACCACAAAACGTGAGCTTGGCTTATAACTATGAGTACGGTTCTGCCTTGAAGTCAGTGCCGCCACAGATATGAATCCGATAACACAATAGATATCAAGAAGGCGCACAAATTAATCAAGAGGGCCCTGCGTTGCAAATGTACGGAAGCTGAGCCGTAGTAGCAATTATTCGTTCTATTTTACCGTTAGAATTTTTTTCTTATGGACGCTTTGTGCATCCGCATTGTTCATTTCTAGCAGATACCATCTGGATCAAATTAGATACGAGAGTAGCTGACTTTAAGGACAAGCATTGATTTACGGATGCTCAAAGAAGATGCCTAACAATAATCTGTATTTGGACGTTCAAATACTATTTCTATAGCCATATTGCCACGAAGAATCGCAGTAATTCCTATAGGATGGAAGCAGTGCCGGCTGCAGGCAATAAACAATGAGGGCGCACAATTCTCGGTCATGGGAGCGCACAATTCTCAATTAGTGTTGGGGGGGATTGGCCCATATTTTATCCTTTGCCTCGGGGCGAACAAAACTCTAAAGCCGACTCTGAGTAGAAGTAATAAAAGGATTCTATTTTCTTTTGAAATAATATTGTTTATTCTTATGTTGCAATCACGCGTTGGAGCCAAAGTTGGCTATTTCCAACGACGTCTCCCTCAGGGGCCTGTTTCTCCGGAATGAAGAGAAGATTCGCAAATCGAGAGGATCAAATAGAATAGAGTCACCCACTGGATTCTTGACCCATTTTTGGGAAACACCATGTACATTCCCAAACTAAGGTCATCCTAAGTTACAAATTAAAAGTTCCAAAAATATGAAATAGTACATAATATTTATGAGCTGATAGATGAAGAGTGCAAGATGTCAACACCCTTACGGTTAGATAACTGCGATGCTTACTGCTTACCATCTCCTTTCAGTCAAATGAAACCGCATTTTTCTGATTTTGTCCGTCAAAAAGTATTTATACGCTCGCAGCGTTAAAGGCGCGCGAAAATGTTTTTTCTTATATTCCATAACATGCGGCATCAATTCTAGAGGTGGCAGCGGTAAATTGGTTGGCGGTGTCACGTTACGTATGCTTTTTTCGTAATGACAACTTCTGGTAAAATATTGAAAATGTTTGGTTCACTTTCAATATACTCCTATGCCTAAAAATTATTAATAGCATTGTATAACCTAAGATTACTGGGCTATATTTTTCTTCATCTGTAAGATACGTTGCCTACCCGTTGTAATGGCCATCTATTGATTAGTAGGGTAACAAAAGTGTGTTTGGTTTCAATGAAAAGGACACTTTAACGTGAAAGAATGAATAAAACCTAATTAAGAAACAAATGGGAAGATGGCAGAACTACTTTTTCTGTTTGTCAATCCCATACGTATCAAATGTCACTTCCCCTACTTTCATTTTTCAAAATCATATGTGAGTATCAGTGACGTAGTTTTCCGGAATCTTAGTTAGTAATGATATCAACTTTTTCAGATTTGTTAGAGAATACATCGGTCTCAGATGTAATTCAGCTTTACTGGAGCAACATCTTGCTGTATTTAACCGATTTTTTCGCTTTTCTCAACAATCTCCAGTCTAAAACCATCTTGAACATTTCTGAAAAGTTGCCCCAGTGGCTGTACTTCGACGAGTTTCAGACAAGCCTTCTGCAAATATTTTTGGGAATTTTGTTTCTCAATTTAGTCTGCATTGTGATAATCTGGAAAATATATGGTGAACGAATTTGTGAGAGGTTTATGAAATTATGTGAGTATATTTTTTCTGTGTAAACATTCATATTGTATTGCAACATATAGAAATACAAAAAAATCTTCAGTTACTTGGGTCAGTTATCTCTATAACTGGATTTATTACAAAAAAAGCAATTTTGTCAGTTCCATGACAATTTTCAATTTATTAAAATATGTCACAGCGACTCTCAGAGAAATAGAAGAACTAAAAGCAAGTGTAGCCAAGCTCAAACTGCCCAAAGAGCACACTCCAAGAATATAAAATGGCAGACAAGATCAAGAAATTTTTCGCCAAGAAAAAAGCAGATGCCAGATTCAAAAAGGCTGGCCCTGGTCACAAACTGAATGCATCATCATCCACACTGGTTGTGGGTCCCAGTAAAAAGAAACCTGAGTATGTCCCATCAAAAGTTGAACCAAGCGAAGCTGCTAGGCAGGCAGCAGAAGCTGCAATGCTTCGAGTGCAGAGCCAAAGACGGAATCCAGGTTTTAATACCTCCCTAGCTGCAATTCAGGCTCAAGTACGGAGAGAATTAGAAGCTGAGAAGCAAAAAGGAGAGACTGGTGCAGAAAGTAGTGCAGCATCGGGTTCAAAAGGACCTGTAGAGACTGAATTGGAGATATCATCGCATTTGGCTGTGAGAGGTAGGGCTTTTAGTTAGAAATCAATAAACCTTAAATGGGTCTTCTAACCACCAAAAAAAGGGCTTTGATTTGGAAGGTGTATTCATATGCCAATATTTTTCATACAGTGTATTGTTTCCTCACTTTTTGTATTGAAAAAAAAATTTATATGAAACTCATAAATTAAAAAAGAATTCATTTAAATCCTTTTCTCATTCCTAGAAGAAAAACTTGCATAGCAAAAGTAGGTCATTAGGGGGGAATTTGCCTGCCTTGGCTTCTGCATGTATTTTAAAATATTGTTTATACAGTACCCATTTTTTATGGACAAGTAGAATGTATGTCTTTCACTTTTTTTCTTCCATCACTTTGAACAGGTAGCTACTTTGGTGGTTGACTGATCCTGTAAACCTAACCTACCCCCCTCTCTGCATTTTGCTTTATAAGCACCCATGGTCACAGCTTTGATACAAAAGTATGCTTTGAACATTTATTCTTAAGGAAAAGTGAATCATTTAGAATATGCTTATTGAATGCAAACTATTTTCAAAAATACCTTCCTATTTTGATGTAATATTCCTTCTTTTTCTTTGATTCCTTGTCCTCATTACCAGATTTTCTTAATTTTCAGGAGTTTATTTCAAATGTCCTCTTGTAAGTGATGAAGTGTTAAGTAAGGAAGAGTGGAAGGTTAAGATACGGGAATTTCTTTTCAATACATTAGAAGAAGAAAAAGCAATGACATCCTGTTTGATTATTTATTCTTGCAACTACAGCAGATCCAAAGTAAGTGGAACATTTATCAGCTATGTGAAGAAAGCAAATTTTAGTTGCTATGCAGAACACTAAAGAACTGATTACAGTAAACTATCAGCAGCCATACATTCAAAAATCTATTCTTTCATTTAAAATAGTACCTAACACTTGTTTTGAATATAGTTCTGCAAAATAAAATGGTTACTTTGCAACTAAAATAAAGAAATTATGAACATTTAACCCACAAATACGATCTTACAGTTCTAATTTTTTTGTTTTTAGGTGACAGAATGTGTGAACATTCTCTGCAGATACCTGGACAACCTGATAGCAAATCCCGAAGAACCAAAATTTCACAAAATTAGATTGTCAAACCAGACTTTTAAGGAAAAGGTAGCACCTATTTTAGGAGCTATAGAATTCTTACATGCAGCTGGATTTCGAGAACAAAAATCAGAGCATAATGGAGTGGAGGAGGACTTCTTAGTTTGGAGCCCAGATAATATAGAAAATCTTGAATATTTACAGGTAAGGTTATATATTGCAATATAAATGGTATCCCACCACTAATATTGAACAATTTAGTCATCAGTCTAAATGGCAGCAATAACTATTGTTGCCATTCACTTCAATATTCTAAATAATAAAATGACAAAGATCTGAGACAGTAGCTGTGTTGTGAATAATCTTATGTTGTATTTTAGTTTCTGAGGGAAACGTTAAAATCTGAAGAAAGGGTAGAATTAGAACTTGACAGAAATGTACAGGTCCTGTCGCCTGCTCAGGCTGCTAGGAGAGTGGAACTACCTCAAGAATTTTACGCTTTAACGCCTGAGGAATTAAAAAGAGAAAAACAACAAAGGTAATACTTCTGATATATATACTCGGAAGTGTTTCACCCAGAAAAAATAATTTCTATAAACTTTTTTTTTGTAACATAGTGACTATATTATACTTTGAAGTTGAGTCATTAATTTTCAGATAGTGATTGTAGAAGGAAGATAAACCAAAATATGTGTGTAAAAATAAAAATAAAATGTTACCTTGTTTTATAAAGTATCCTCCCGACAAGTATTTCAGTGCGGACCTGTATTTGATCGTGCGGTCTTGGAGCACCGGCATCCCCTGCGAGGTCTTAAGTCACCTGATTCACGAGCCCTTGGTACTACATTAACAAAGGCACGAGGGGTTGGTTGCACTCGATTGGGAAACCGATTTTGTAAAGACTATCCCCCCGTAAATAAGAATCATGTCCACAAGTTCAGCATTTTCGTAAACATGTGCCGTTTTTTATTTCGTTTGAGTCACGCAACAAACACCACTATTCACTCACGCGTTACCGACTGAATCCAACTAAAAACATCGTGATAAGCGTTTCAAATTCTTTCGCTTTTTTGTTTCCGATGCGGATTATATCCGTTGTCGCCAAACACGAGCACATTATTGAGACAGGGCGGTACTCAAACTTCTAAAGGGCTATAACTTTGTTACTTTAATTTTACCAGAAAAATGTTAAAGGAAAAAAACATTTCTTTTGATCAGATCTACTCGCTGTTAAAATAAATGACTCAACTTCGAAGTCACCCTGTATATGATGTGGCAACAATGTCGACGTTTTAGATTTGTTTTCCATTGTAAAAATGTTATCTCTTAGTTTTTGTGAAGTAAGCAATTTCTGAGAGCTGAGCAGTACAAATATTTTTAATTATTGCCCTATCATTTACTAGTGTTAAGCATAACAAAATGCCTATGGTTCGAAGACGTCCAAATTATCATCATGTTAGCGACTTTGTCAGGGGTAGAATTATTGCCTATCGAGATTTTGGTTTGTGGTAGCGTGAAATTGGCCGCCGTGTTAGTTGTACTGCAATGACGGTAATACGTGTGTGTCGTGTGTGGATAGAAGAAGGTAGAGGAACACGAAGAATGGCAACTGTCTCACAGAGGCGTACCACAGAGCGGTTTGGAGAAGAAGGTACCATGCGTACACTCTATCGTCGTATTCGACCCTTTGGACTTTTTTCGTACCATCCACGGTTAGTGCTTCCTCTGACTACGGACCACTGGCGGCAACGTTTGAACTGGAGTAGAGAACGGTAACATTGGGAGGCAGAATGGCATAATGCCATGTTCAGCGACGAATCGCGATTCTGTCTAGGTATGCAGAATGGTCCTAGAAGGGCAAGACGCCGCCGTGAAAAACGGCGTGATATTGGATTTGCTGTCGCACAGTGGTGTTGGCTATTGCCTCCCTCTTTGTTCAAAGCAATGTGACTGCTGCACGTTATGTTGATGATGTCCTACAAACCACTAGAGGGCCGTCCACAAGACAACGCACGTCCGCGAATTGCTCGTCGTACAACGGACTTTCTTCAAGAAGGAGACATTAATGTTTCTCGATGGCCACTCCGTTCACCGGACTTAAATCCCATCGAACATGTGTCGGATATCACGGGGAGGAGACTATCCACTTTGCACCATCCGTCACAGACTCGGCCACAGCTAATAGACGAAGTTCGAGTTGCTTGGAATAAGGTGCTACAACCATCTTGTCGATGCCTAGACGTATACAGGAGTGTATTCAGCTGCGGGGTCGCTCAACAAATTATTTTTTTCTTATTACTTGTCAATAAAATTTCGTGAAAATGTTATCGTTTCATTATTGATGCCAAAAAATCAAGTTAATGAAAGTCTTTTTTCTGGGTGTAACACTCCAAATGTCACTGAGTATATTAATGTGATCTAGTCATTAGTGTTAGTGCTGCTGGCGACATTTAGTTGCTCTGGAAATCTGCCTTTATAATATTTTTTTTTTATTTCAGACAAGAAAACATCGAGAAGCAAATGCAGCTTCGTACCAAAGCTATGCGAGAAAAGGATGAGATACGGGAAGTCAGGAAATATAAATTCTGTTTGATTAGGATCCGGTTTCCAGATGGGTTATACTTACAGGTATTTTTTTCAAAATAAACTAGCGTCAATTATAAAAATGCATTGTTGAATGTTTTGTTAGACCTCTCATGTGAATAAATTATAGTTTAAAAAAACACACTTCAGTAGCAAATAAAAATAAAAAGAAGGAATTAATTTTCAAGTATAGGAGAGTTTGTTTTACTGCAATAGAATGTCCAACAATCAAGTATGCTCAGCTGTATATGTCAGAAATTCGTTGTTGGAACAAGGCTATTATTTTTTGTTTTCCTTTTTTTTTCTTAGGGGACCTTCTCAGTGTACGAAAAGCTGTCGGAAATATACGACTTCGTTAACGAGAACATCGAAAACGAAGGTCTCCCCTTCATCCTAACCTCACCAACAGGTCACAAATTCGAGGAAAACGAAAGAGATGTTTCCCTGGCAGACCTGCGTCTGGTCCCAGCCACCATTCTGACCTTCCAATGGGACCCTGCTATAGTCGAAGACATCAAAGCAGCTACGGGAGGCAACGAATCTTACCTGAAACCTGAAGTTATGATGTTGATGCAGTCTTTGTGAGTTGTGTACTGGTCTAGTCAAGTGCCGAGATGAGTTATTTATGGGCTTTTATCTGTTTTAGCTGGGAAGTATTCCATATTTTTGTACAATTAAATTGACATAAGCTTTTACAATGTTTTGTGAAACACACAGATATAACATGCAAGCATTAAACGTATTGCAGCTCTAATAATTGTCAAAAGATCTTTATTTGTCAATATTATCTTGTTATATAGGGTTTTCCATTAAGGACTTGTCAACTTTCTTTTTAAATAAAACGCAAACCATTCGAGATATCTCGAATTTTTTTTACTGGATTGAAGTATAATCAAAACATTTATGTATGGAATTCGACCTCTTTCATATGTCCACCACGGGTACGTTCGCAATTTTTTTAACCCAATTTTCAACGACTCGGCCACTTTGTCAGAAAGAGCCGCTATCTCTCGTTCAATATTGGCTGAGCTCTTCTAACGACGCCGGCTTGTTGGCATAGACCAATGATTTAATGTAGCCCCACAAAAAAAGTCTAGAGGTCTTAAATCACACGATCTAGGCGGCCATTCGACATGATCTTTTCTCGTATAACACGTTCACCGAATTTTGACTTCAATATGTCGATTGTTTCATACGCTGTGTGGCATCGTCTTGTTGAAACCACATATTAATGTCTAGCCCATCCAATTGACCAAAAAAATAATGTTACAACATGTCTTTATAGCGATCTTGTCTGTAACATGATGGTCATCAACGATAAAAAAATGACACCATCGGCATGAAAACCACACCATACAGGTATTTTTTTGTGGATGAAGCGGTGTTTCTTGAAGCACATGAGGATTATCACCTGACCAATAACGCATTTTCTGTTTGTTGACGGAGCCGTTTAGCCAAAAATGCGCCTCATCACTGAAGATGATTTTCGTTGAAATTAGTCATTTTCTTGCAACATTTCTAGACAACAATTCGAGGACGTACGTAGCGAATATGTGGACTCAAATTTTTTTACTAGACTATGAATTGCTTGTCGACTGGGACGAGAACTGCGACCAAAAATTGGCGTTAACGCCCTTAAAGTTGCAGTCACCGACTCGGACTTTCGGTAGTTAATTTTAATTATTTGTAAGCGTTGTTCGTTCGTGTAGTTCACCATGATGAAAATGTTTTCTTTACAGAATGTTTTGACAATGACAGTTCAGTAATAGATTTAAAAGTGCGTTCAAAGCTGTCAAGTCCCTATTGGAAAACCTGATAGTAGATATTTTTAAACCATTGAGTGGAGTCAATCTACTTGACTCCACTTTTTTGCCGTACATAACATGAAATATTGTTTTCATGCTAAAAACAGTATGGAGCAGGTATCAAACCAGCCGCAGGTTGAATGATCTCTGTTCGAACTCAAAAAAGTCATCTGGATACCTTACTCAAATCACCAACTAGTGCATTATTTTTACTTCCCACGCCTGCTAGCGGGAAAGTATTGTAATCACGAAAAAGTCAGTAAATGAGATATGTTTTTTGGATTCTTATACAACATAAAACCATTGGTCTGCCTGTCTATCCATCTGCTAATCATTGGCTTGGCTATAACTTAGAAAGCACCACTTGGATTTTGACGAGCCTTTCATAGGTTTCAGATAAACTTTTTAGGGGTTAAAAACTAGGGAGGTTAAGGATTGTAGGAGGGTAGGACCCACTTTTTTGGCGTTAGTATATTTATACGTTTCCAACCCAAGTAATTCTATGTACCTCTTAAGACATATTTCACATCTCATTGATTTCCCTATAAATTTTGCCTTCAAACACAATCATTGAAATTTTTAAAGGCTCAACAAGCCCTCTGCTTTTTGTTAATTTTCAACCAATCTTATAAAATAGTTCCGTTTAACAATCATGTTCTTTAGTCACCCCTTCCACCCTCAAAAACCTATATTTTACTCGTTTTTTCTTCTAACGTACTCGTATTTCTCTTTTTTTTTTCGAAAGTCCAGGCATGTTACTAGAAACCACTTCACAGAATTAGAACAGTTCTGGGACAGTCGTCTGTAAAACCTAAGGCTTATATTATTTTGTACACATTACACTTTTTACAGGAAAAACTTGAGTATTACGCCTGGTTGTGTCAGCACTGTAAATATTCTATATGAGTGTATTGATCGATTCAGAAGTGCAGCTCTAGCCATTATGGCGGACACTACAAAGTTTGTGTTGTTTTTATGCATGTCTCCATAATTTACCAGATCCACTACAGCATCACTCTACACTTGCTATAAATTTTACTGTGCTGTGACTGCCTAAACACAAATAACTAGGCTCCCAAACTTTTGCCACAAATTGTGTGCTCCTTTTGAGAGAACTATATACTAAGTGAGATATAAACCTACAGGTCAGCCCAGTAAGTGGTTACCTACTTACCTGAGTCCATTACATGAATTTAGGCTTATGCCAGATTTAGTGCAAAATGGAAAATTTCTATACTATATAATTATTTAAGCTATTGAATTTATAGATGATACAAAATTATTGCCGCCTAAAATTAAAAGATAGATTTATGACCAAAGGGGCAGCATACATTTTAACTAATTTATAATTTATCTACAGTTATTTTTTGTATAATTCTATAACCGTTATAGCACGCATTCAAGTCACGTGATCATGTTCTATTTATTCTAAAATCTAATTGTAAGATTATCAAGATGTATCTATATATTTAATAAAAATTCGCATTGATTGTGAAATTTTTTGTATCCTCCAAAACCAATCAAATTATAAAACCAGTGACAAAAAACCTCCCAGGTCAATGCTAGATAGCAATGAAGTAAAATAATTATCAGCACCTTCTCAGAAAACTGGAAATTTGCTCTTGTCCAATCCATTGCAGAAAAGGGATCTAAGACTGACCCTTGCAACTACAGGCCTTGAGCTCTGCTTTCTGTTATGAGTAAGGTGATGGAGAGGTGCATAAATCACAAGCCTCTATTCTATTTCATTTAGGCTCGACTGTCGGGTGACTGTCAATTACTTGACTCTAGCAGAAAGTATCAGGACCCTTTCACACCGGCAGGCTGTTGGCGATCTAGTTTTTACATTATATGGTTTTATTAATGCATAATAGGACACAAGGGAATGCTAACTGTTAACTTGGATGACAAAGCCATTGTTATTATCTCATATTTAAAGATGAAGCAATTTTGTGATGAATACATTTTTCCCAAAATATCATCACATTCACAAATTTATCTGATAAACATCAACAGCTGCAATAGAAAGTAACAGGACCACAATATAGGTTTTCTACTCCTTGTGTTTTCAAGAATCAGCCTCAATTTAGCTATAACTACTAAATTCATACTTACATTATACTTCTGGTTAAATACGTCTTGTTCATAACTACTGCATTAATTTGAGTTGTACTTATGGGAGGTCCTTACTTTTTAATTCTCAAAGCAGTATCCGTATTTTTATTTGCTTCATAAGATTGTAGAATGCAGTTTTTTTTTCAAATTATACAGGCACAATGAACTTTCTTTATTATCAGGACTATTTCTTATCATTTAATTTGGGAATATATTAAAAACATCTTTGTCCTATTGTGTTCCAGGTTTTTTTAAGTAATCTGATTGTAAATAAAAATTAGTCTTTGTTATGAATGTTGCCACTCACATCATTAATTAGAAGCTTTATCAGTATTCACATTGAAATAATATCAAGTTAAACAAACACAATATAAAACTATGAAAGGATGTGAATGACACAATCATGATAAAGACTATACAGAATTCACTTTCAGCCCTATTGTATTTAAAAAAAATTACAGACCTGATTCAGGATTTTATAGTATTTTGTAGCACAACACATTGCAACTAAATATTTGTCTGTCACATTTTTCCACATTCCATTTTTCTCACCCACAATTTTTTGTAACTCACCACACCCACTCTAGGATAAACTAAAAATACATGATAGGGAAAAGTTATCTATTTTCACATCACTACAAAATTTTCCAGATGGTTAATAGATATATTTCGCATTTCTCACCTAGCAAAATATAAATAAAAACCATTGTAAATTCACAGATACACTAACTCACTTTGCATATTGCCGGTTATTAGAACAGTAAACTACACTATGCACTACTTTACACAAAAGTTTTTGCAATACAGTCCTTTCACATTGCACACAACTATGCACCATGTTTAAAATAAAAAATAAACTGAACTGCATGGGAAAGAACTGTAAACATCACTGAATAATAAATCAAGAATCACTTCACATTTTCCATTTTGGACAAGGATAAACACCATTATAGATTACACATCTAGCGTTGATCACCAATTTCCTGAAAAGAGTTACTGTTTAGAACTTAATAAAAGTATACTTAAAACCTATGTGTTCTAAAAGAAAAAGCATGAATATATAAGATTACAATAATTAATGTAAAAAAATAAGATATGCATATAACACATTATGAATATTTGCATTCATATAGTTTCTGATCGAAAGTATTATCAAGATATATTTGAAAAAATATAAGCATGGCTAAAATAATGGAATATTTGTGAAAAAAAGTCTTAATATAGAAAAAACTTTTGGAAGCAATGTTTGTGATCATTTTGCAAGACACATTATCACATTACACAATATTTCATGCAATTTAACACAGATTTTTGTCCATGATTTCAAAAGATATTATCATCACCTCCGTGTTACACGTAGATAGTCACAAAAATATGCATCATATATTGATATATGTTCCTTGAATGCAATAAAAAAAATTTAACTAGGAAAAATTAGTAGCTTAGAATATCTTGATGATACTTTTTTGTAACATTTAATGACAAAATTTAAGCTGTGCCACCACGTACCACAACTATCACCAAGTGATCTTCTTTGATTGCTTCATCTGACAAATTTGGGCAAGTACGTTTCAACAGTTCAGTGGAAAATGGACAAGGTGGGAAAGAATATAATACTCCAGTAGCTTCTGTTTCTTTGTTAAGCAGTGATATGACCCCAGCAGCCTCTTTTTGTTTCAAATATGAAACTAGATTTCTTAGTGGTCTTGTCTGTACTGTAGTATCTTCATTTTTGACTGAGACTGTTGACCCAGCTAATCCCAAGAAAATTGCATGTGAACTAGCACTAGAGATGCGTTTTTGGACATCTTCTAACTTTGGCTGATCCAGTCTTAATCTCTGTGTTATGCGAAGTTGATGTTTACCCTCCTCATCTTTCATCAAACCATCAACAATGTCTGTATCTCCATCAATGAGATGGAACTTTGCTGGGAACAAGGAGTTCTTTAGAATAAGTGCTCCTTGCCACAATGTGGTGCATTTTCTAGCAACCTCAGGCAATGTACGACTTGATGCTAGCAGACCTGTTCTTCTTGATCCACTGTCTGAATCAGAATCTAAGGATCTTCTAGGAGACCTTGACCTTGATCTATCAACACCACGTGAAGTGGACCTACCACGGCCATATTCTACATCTCTAGCTCTACCCCATTCATCTTCAGCTCCTTCTGGGAATCTGTAAGGCCCCCTACTGCCAGCCCTCCTCTCTGGATATGCTGGATCTCTATATCTATAATCAGCATACTCTGGATAATCATAGTCTCTGTATGCTCCTTCTCTAGTTCTGTAATCTTCAGCCGATGCATATGGAGGTTTGGGTCTGTATGCTACACCTGGAGTGACATCTGCAAAATCAGTTCGAAGCCTTCTCTCAGGTCCACCTAAAGGAAATCCTCTCATTTCTTTTACTGCAGCTTGTGCAGCATCTATACTATCATACAGAATCAATGCTTGGTTATCACCTTTGACATAATCAATTTTTTTAATGGCTCCAAAGCGATCAAATTCTCTTTCCAATTGAGGAATAGAGGTCCAAGGACCCAAACCGCCTACCCAAATTCTTGTGGTTGGAGTGGCCTTACCATATCCTATCTTACATTGGAATTTACCAATATACTGACCAGAAAGTTCAACTTTGGCACGATGGGCCATATCCAGGTTATTAAAACGTACAAAAGCAAATGCATTACCTGTACCTGGAGGGGGTCTTTTAATATCAATGTCTTCTACAATACCATATCTTCCAAAGATTCTTCGGAGCTCTTCCTCTGTAATATTTATTTCTAAATTACCAGCAAAGAGTGTACGAGTGGCTAATGGATCTTCTTCAGGTTGGATATGGTGTAAATAATTCGGAAACTTATCTTTTTTGTTTTCATTTCTTTCAAATGGCTGCCTGGGGGCTCTTGGTGGAGCATAAACCTGGGTTGGAGGAATTTGGGGTGGGTGATGGATTGGAGGGCGAGCAAGATAATCATGATGAGGTGCTGGAAGAGCTTCACGTCTATATTCTCTATGGATAGGCAATGCAGCTGGGGGGCCGTATGCCCTATCATAACGATCTAAAACCCTCAAGCGTTCTGGTGAACGACTATAAGCATAGTGGCGGTCATAGTCAGGTGTTATAGACCTTTGCCTATGATAGACATCACTGGAACGACTTACTTCATACACAGCCTCAACTAGAGCTACTTTATCATAAATGATTATTCGCGGTTTGCCATGTTTGGCGTCTCTCGCATCTTCAGGGTTTCGGAAACATACATAAGCGACTCTTTCGTCCATATCATGACCGATACGAATGCTGAGGTCACCGTACTTTTTGTACTCGCGATACAAAGTGTCTTTGATAACCTCGTCACTAGCTTTGGGGTGCAGGGCGCTGACACAAAGGACTTTATACGGATACGAGCGTTCCGAGGAACGAATGTAATCATCGCGATGGGGGGACACGTATCTAGGCCTCGGGCTGGGAGACCTAGCGCGACTTCCGCGGCGTCTCACGCGGTCAGGGGTGATACGTTCGTCAGAGCTGTCGTCGTACCTTCCCATGCTTGACCTGGATCGTTTGCTTCGTGGCGGAGTGTCCCGATCACTACTTCGTTTCATATTATGTATCCTAACAGTAATTTTGTCTCTTCCAGAGGCGATCATACGCACCACTGCACACACTGTTTAACTGAGAACAGCACTGCGGCACGGCACTCCTCACTGCTCTCCTAAAAACACAAACAAAAAACACACACATTACACTCTAAATACAACTGGAATCAAGTAAAAACATACTTCAATTAACTACACAGCACTGTGTAAACGAAACAACCAAGAAAACTGCGTCAGAAACGTCTCATCACCTTCGCACTTTGGGAAAATCGATATTTCATAAAATGGCGGACGGCAAAATGGAGCGATCAGAATCACGGGAGATCAAGGTAAGGAAAAAAAAAGCCACGATCCACGATATCTGTCAAAGATGCGACGCCTGTTACGTCACAGCTATGTTAGCCAATGAAATTAGAGATGCATTCCCTATCCTTTATTACCTTAGGGACATTACGAAAATCCCTAAAAAGCCACACCCAACTCGGGGATCATAGAGTAACAATTATAAAATAGATAGCAAATCTCTCCGAACGAACTACTTTAAATGAGCAACCATTTTCCAGGTTACAGAGTCCATGGATTCGTGCTCGGATTGGTACTCGTTATTTCGGGTATCTATGAGTAACGAGTACTCGAGTTTCGTATGATTACTTTTTCAACACCACTAATATACATCTGCTGGAGAATACAAAGCATTTTCTGTATTATGGCGTCGAGAGGGGGACCTGGTTATCCGCAGGGATATTCCGTATCTTGAAAAGTGACATTATAGACGAAAAAGAGTTATTACATTTCACATTAACGGTCCGAGTAAAGATAACATGGCCACGCAAGACAACTGTTGAAATGTATTCTAATAGACTCTAGAAGACTATCCGTATCGTAAAATTTTTGCCGAAATTGTTGCACATCACTTGAAGCATCGGTACCCCGGGATAGACATCTGTCTTGACAGATAACCTTGTCATTCTTGCGTCTTGCCATCTGGATCGAGGCGCTCATCAGACGATTTTGCTACCTCTACTATTTTGATATAATGTTATAAAAAAAAAAGTTTTGAATCAAATGTTGAGGAATACCAATGGAGATATATATAAAATTACAGGAGTAGCAATATTAATATCTCTGAACATTTCCTAAATGCCCAATTTTATAGGATAAAATACTTTTTGAATAAGAGACTTCTTCCAACAATTTGAAAAAACAATGTTTTGCCATATAAATATATTTATTAACTAATTGATCTAAAATTACATGATCATTAATAGAAGTACGATCTTCATTTCACTCTACTATTTATTAGTATCCGTCTTAAACGCAGAGACATTTGGGAAAGCTAATGGACAGCTTGATAATTTGAATCCAACTTATAACTCCTCGATCATGTGGAATCACAGGAAGACGGAATCAGCATTTTGGACGCATCATATATCCCTACTCTTGTTGAACATTTGGTGCCCACGTATCCTCCAACAACCAAGGTAAGACCTTGTAGTTTCCTAAACACGGGGCTGAGATTCCAGGTTTGAAAACGCCAGAGAATCAACGCTTGATTTTTTGCACCATATTTAGTAAGGCCTGTCAAAGCACGATACTGTCAATTATAGACTATCAACAATTCCTTGGACCAAAAATAGTATTTTGTTCGAGGCTTTGCTAATAGTTTTGAGATTTTTCAGAAAGAATACTTACAAGAATGTTAGATTAGTGCACGTTTCTGTGAATTTCTTTTATAATAATGTATTATCGGGTGGCCAAGGTAAGGATCAGAGGTTATATTCAGTAATCACACAATCTTACATTAAGCATTTGTTTGCAACGCCTACTTAAATAAAATGAAAAAAAAAACACCATGAAAGATGCTATTAAATACAGGGTCGTACTTTTTTAAATGTTGTGCACTTCGGGCACATTTAAAAACACCATCATGTAGTGCCATTAGTTTTTTGACATTTCTTAAAATAAAGTCAGACAAGAATAAAAACGATTTGGCCAAATTTTAGTTTTCCCCAAATATGACCATGCAATGTGCGCAGTTAATTTAACAAACATAGGATGTCAATCCGAACACACAAGTAGATGAGTATGCAAGGCTCACCTAGTTTGCACACATGTATCCTGTTTCCCTCGGAAGAGTTGGAAGTAGACCTAATGTACACTTGAGACCCATGTCACAACACTAAAACACCACTGAGAAACAATCGAGAACCCTATAATGAACATCACTATTAAAAAAAAATAGCTAAACCGAATAAAGCTCAGCCCGAAGGTGTGAACGCGTGGACATTCCCCTGCGCCGACGGTTGCCGAGAGACTGAAGCGACAAAGTGTGTGAGTGCTGTACGTCGCTGCGGCAATACAGTACGGCCGGGTAGTACAGCCACGCCCCTTTCCAGCTCCCATTCTGCGCGTCTGCGTTTTCTTATCTGTCAGTATCACGAAGCGACTCAATGTTTACGTTGACGGGAGCGGACGCAAGGAGTGGGAGCTGGAAAGGGGCGTGGCTGTACCACCCGGCCGTACCGTATCGCAGCAGCGAGGTACCGCACTCACACGCATCAGTCTCTCGGCAACCGTCGGCTCAGCGGAATGTCTATGCATTCACAGCTCCGTGCAGAGCTCTCTCTTCCGTTTAGCTACTTTTTTTTAGTAGTGGTGTTCACTATAGGGTTCTTGATTGTGTCTCAGTGGTGCTTTAGTGCTCTGACGTGGGTGTCAAGTGTCTCCAAAGTGGAAATTATTATTTATCATTTTGTTCTACAAAGTAATAATGACAATAATAATAATTTTGTAAGCACGCTAAACATTTGCTACACAAGAATCATGATCTAAAATCAAAAACTTTTTTAATAACATCCTTAAAGTGTAAGTATCAATACTTCTTTTCCACGAAGCAGCCTTATTTTTTGTACCTGTCCATGATTCTATTGTGTTTGTGTTCTGTGCCTCATTCTTTTTCTCTTCTGACTGTGCTCCCTGTGGCTCAGGATCATCGACATATTGTCAATGCTCAGGATCTGAGACTATTTCTTAACCTCTCCGGGTCTCCGGTATTTTGTTTATGTTTAAAGAATTGTGGATTAGAGGTATTTGGGTAATCAGTTTTTGAGAGAATTATCCTTCTTGATACATCGCGTATTTTAGTCTATTCTGAAGTTCTTCCAATATTAGGCAAGCAATCTAGTACTAGTATGAAGCCAAAAACTGATTTGGAATCAGACGATAAGCCTTTCATAAAATCGGAAGAAACCTATCCTGACTATGTAGCAGATTGCGATAGGTATGACATTGACTTATTTAAAATTCCATCAATATTTTCATTCCTCTTTAAGGTTCTATGAACGTGTGTAAACTCAGCTCCTAGGCTATTTTGTATAGTTTTATGCTAGATTTATGAAAACCTTATCGGCTTCAACTTGGATCTTGATAAAACTAATAAGATGTTACCAACACTCACCTTAGTACTGCAGTCTTAAGTACTAAGACCTTTTCTTACCCTAGAATATTCTGTAACTCTGCATAATTTCACTATATATACTGCTAGATACACTTGTGTTTCTGTAAACCTTTCTTTCACTGAGTTATATACACAAGAATGGAGTGACGTAACATGTATGAGGTCAGTTTTATGAATAGAATGATCTGGATATTAATTTTTTGCTGAGATCAGCAGGAGCCTGCAGAAGTCCCATGTCCATATTTCAAATAAGGCTTCATTTCACTGTAGCATTTTTCGATTCTACTTAATTTTTAATTACAGTTGTGACAAATAGCAGGTGAGATGTGAGGTAAAGATTTTTCACAAAAGAAATAAAAAACAGCGAATAATTAACATTCCAGGATGGGCAAATAACAAATATAGACTCTTATTACCAATAACAGTAATTTTTATTTTTGAATACAAATGCTATACAACAGCTGTGAACCACTTGTCATACAAATATTGTCAATCAAACGAAATTAATGATAAAATCTTGCTCAAAGCATATTATTCAGACCAAAGTCATTGATTGTATATGGTTCTAGGTTTAGCAATATTTTATATATATTTTTTTAAATGCTTTTACTTCTACAATCTTTTTTGCAATTGCTGGTTAAAAGGTTTTAGACAATTACTTTTTCAAATAATGCTAATCCATGCTTAGGATAAATATAAGTGAAAACTCTAGTACGGTTACTTGTAGGCTCATTAACTGTGAACAATTGCTTATTTTCAAATAGATATATGATGCACTCTTGAATAAACACTTCAAAAACTCTTGAAATACTAAATTACTTAAATTTTCTTCTACTTGATTCATTGTTACCGCCCCGAATTTGTATTTTCTGGAGGAATCTTTTAACTAGCATTTAAAGATAATGTTGTTTTAGTATCATGAACCAGAATGGAGTTAACCAGCTAAAACTAGAGAATCAGTTAGTAGTTGAAGTTAAATCTGAAGAACCAACTGTGAACAGTACAAAGTTAGAAAATGGGATGAATGAAGAATTTGACATCAAATCTGAATACGATGAAGATGCCTTATCTGTTTTAAAATGGGATAGGTGGGTCTTATTTTCCTTTGAATCTATTTCATTTCACTCTAAAGATAATGGAGGAACACATTTGTTGTTTGCGGTGATGAAATTGATCATTAATACTATATGTTAACATAAAAATGACAGCTGAAAAATTCAAGATGGTGGTTGGGCGTTGGGTTGGAATATTTTTTTAAATGGAAGGGTAGTCGTGTGATACCTCATTTTGATGCTCTTTATGAGCACTTTATAATCCTAGAATACAAATTTAATATCTTTCAGAGTGGTGCGCTGTCAAAGCTGAACATTTTACAACATTCTATTCTAGGATTGTAAAGTAACCTTCATTAACGTTTCAGGATTAAAGTTGAAGACATTTTGGAGCCTGGGATTGAAGCTGACTGGACGCCAGATACAGTTAACCAGATGAAAATGGGGTTTCAAAAACTGGAGGAAAAAACACATATTGTCAGCACAAATTTTGCAAACACGGACGCATTAGGGCTGCATGAAGAATTTGACGTCAAAACTGAGTGCGACCAAAAGGACAGACATGATTCAGCGACCAATAGGTGAGTCTCCTTTAATCTTTGAACACTCCAGTGTGTCCCAGAATGATATGTGAATTTCTGGTATGCATGCAATACCTGTGGGAGATTCAGCTTCTATTAAATTAGAACAAAGTTGCGCTCTTTGACGCGTATTTATATGCCATTGAGAAGTTTGTAAACATTTCATGGCTTACTGAGATATTTATGAAAAAAATTACTTCATTTTAAGAAATATCAAAATGCTGATGACACTTTTCCATTGCCACTTTTTAGGCACTACATGATGGTGTTTTTAAATTTTGTGCCCAACGTTTCGTTATTTTTAAATTTGTCGTGACGGACTAGAAGCTTCGTATCAGGGGAGTCCAAAAAGTAGGGTTCTAGATCCAAAACATCAATTACAACTACAGGCATTGAAATAATTCTAACATATATAATATATATATATACATATAAGCAAAGAGGACTCTTTATACTTTATAATCTCTAGCTTTCAATGGACTTTGCCATCTTCATCAGGCGAGTCGTATGTGAGATTGTTGCTAAATGTTATTAACGTTTAGGTTGAGGGAAACAACCAGTAACCTGGTGAATGCTGGTTACATGGTACATTCGTCAAAATTAATATAAACTACAGTTGTATGTCAGGAACAAATGAAAATGGATTAAAAATATTTAAAACGAAAGTTAAAATTACATCTTGAACCATCTGATGCAGCTTCAGGTGGTTAAAAATTCGAGGACTTCTAGCCATTTTAGTTTGTTGTAGTAACAATGTGTAGGTTGGTTTTTGTTGTAGACTTCGTGTGTTGTTTTTTCCTCTCCATCTTCGTGTCCTCAGGTTACACCAGCATCCGGATGTGTGGACATGTGTATCTACTTTTGTAGTTGCATATTGCCATTGCCAACGACCAGTTGGGCAAAAAATACAATTAATTGGGAAATTGGCAAAATTTTAGGCTTTAGACTCTTTTAACGGTAATCTCGAGCTTTCGGCATTCTTTATGGAGCCATCTTCAGGAGTCGTCGTTGAGGTTGCAGCCAAATGGTGTTAGAGCTAAGCCTACATGTACAAGTGTGCAGCGCCATTTACTAGCAAACATTCGTTAGACAACCACATTTTGCAGAAGTATTCTGGTCCCAATTATGAGCACTCACAACAAGTTGAAAAAAACCTTTTTGATAATAATAATGGTCTGACTCATCAGATGTTCGAGTATTACCCTGAATGCATGATCATAGCATTTTTACAGTGAACTATATTGATTTCAAATCAGAATAAGAGTCTGATGGCGCCATCTATTGACCGGAGACTGAAGCACAAGCAGTTTGACTAGCTCTACACTGATAGATCTAGGTACATTGATACCTTTTATGTGAATGGCGCGAATTTTCGAAAGAGTGGACTTAAACCATTATTTTTCTATGTTCCACAGTGCAATTCAATATGTATAAAATTTTGATTCCATTTGAATAAAAAAAGTAAAATAACCTGTCTCACTACTTAATTTACAGACCTCGTATGTGATGTTTATTTTCATTTGATGCCAATTTTTCAAGAGAAATAGGTCTCAATGTATTGAGTAAATTCTACAATAAATGTGCACAACTATTTCATTTTTATAATAATATGTATTCAAATGTAAATTTGAGGTTCTGTGCTTATTGATATTATGATGCATATCAGTGAAGACACTTAGAATAGATTTCTTTTTCAGCGCACAAATAAAGGGAAGGTGGAAAAGGGAACAAACATGTTCACATATGGAAGAAGGAAAAAAGTTGCCAAGCTGCTATATTTGTGATTATATGAGCCATTGTAAAAAGGGTTTGATCGATCATATCAAAAGCAACAATTCTCACTTAGGGTCCAATTTAGAAAAATCATGGTCCGTTTTCAAAAAAAAGGATCGACTAGATAAGTGTTGGTGTACCAAATGTAGTGAGGTGTTCAAAACCAAAAGGTTACTAGATAGTCATGTTATTAGGAAGCATGCCGAATCTATTGCATTAATTTCATCTAAAATACATGAATGTACGTTATGTGATTTCAAAACCGTTCATAAAAGTCACATAACCAGACATATGTTGAGACATGCTGCTGTTTCTGACCTGCACATTTGCAAACATTGTAGTGCGTCATTCAAAAGAGAGCATTCGCTCTTTGACCATATTCTAAAGAAACATCCCAGCTTCAGCAGGACAATTTGTAGTAAGATATATGAATGTATGCATTGTGCGCTCAAGAGAACCACTAGAAATAATTTCATAAAGCACGTGGCAAAACATGATGCTCGAAAGACTTTTAAGTGTCTAGACTGTGATGCTTCATTCAAAGATAAACTACGTTTAGAGAACCACATTCTACAGAAACATTCTGAGTTTGCTGTATCTGTATCGTCCAAGGTTCATGAATGTACACATTGTGAATTCAAAACTACATACGCTCGCAGTTTAGCTGTACATATGATGAAGCATACTGGAGCTAAGTACACTTGTATAAACTGTGATGCACAATTTAGAACCAAACCAGGGTTAGACAACCACATTTTGCAGAAACATTGCGAGTCATCTGCTTCTGTGTCTAGTAAGATACATACATGTAAACACTGCGAATATAAAACAACACACCTGCAGCAATTAACTACTCATATGATGAAACATACTGGAGTTAAGCTCACGTGTACAAAGTGTGATGCAGCATTTACAACTAAACAATGTTTAGACAACCATACTTTACAGAAGCATCCTGAGTTTACTGCTACTGTGTCTCATAAGATACACGAATGTATGCATTGTGAATATAGAACAACACACATGCAAAGATTAAACATGCATATGATGAAACATACTGGAGCTAAGCTCGGGTGTACAAAATGTGATGCGTCATTTATTAAGAAGCTGTCATTAGACAACCATATTTTGCAGAAACATCCTGAATTTATATCATCTATATCTCATAAGATACATAAATGTACACATTGTGAATATAAAACTACACACGGGTACTCTTTAGCTACGCATTTGAGAAAACATACTGCAGCTAACCTCACGTGTACAAAGTGTGATGCGTCATTTACAGGCAAACAATCGTTAGATAATCATACTTTACAGAAACATCCTGAGTCTACTGCATCTGTATCCAGTAAAATACATCAATGTATACATTGCGAATTCAAAACGACACAAAAAGGCAAATTTACTAATCATGTGAGGAAACATTCACAGTCATAGTCATAAATATCGCATAAAAATCACGAAAGATGACTATTACGTCATACCATAAATTGTACTGAAGTAATCAATGCACGTACGTCGATGATAAATAATCACGATTTCAGGAACATAATGACAACAAATATATATTATGATTTTGCGAAGTTAGGTTATTTCACTGATTATTTATATTTTCATTTTATTTAATGGTTTTGAGTGATGCCTTAATAATAATTTTAGTGGCGAGCTTTTGTTTTGAAAAAAAAAAACAGTTATGAGTAGAACACGAAAGACCAAAGCATTATTAGAAAACAACCTAACCTGCTTTAACATAACCTAACTACTCGTCTTTCAAATATGATCGATCATGCAACATGGAAACATCATCTATCTTTGTCGGATATATGCAAATTAGCAATACACTTTGTTTAGACAATAAAATTCTGTACGTCTCTGTCTAACCTATCTAAAACTTCATTTAAAATATTCACATGTCGCTGTCGTTTGTCTTTACTACAAACTAAAATGATGACGTAATCTTCATCTTTCGTGATTTCGACTATATGCCCTTTTAAAACAACTAAATGGTATTTTAAGTTCTTATTGAGGCAAATTATAAATGTTTTACCTATGCACAAGGGTTTCGTTCTGCGGGATTATTTCATTTATTTGCAGATATTATAGTCCAACTTCTTGAAATGTAATTTTTGGCATGTGTAAATTCTGGGAAATAAATTATCTATCTATTTAATGTAAAATTGCTATTCTGTGCTTAATGAAATTATGACGCATATCAGTGAAGACCGTTAAAGTAGAATGGATTTCTGTTTCAGTGCACAAATAAAGAAAAAGCGGAAAAGGAAAACATATTCACAGATCGAAGAAGGAAAAATGTTGCTAAGTTGCTACGTTTGTAATTATACAAGCTATTGTAAAAAGCGTTTGATCGTTCATATCAAAAGGAACAATTGTTACTTAGGATCTAATTTGGAAAAATCACGGTCCATTTCCCAGAAACAGTTTCGACTAAATACGAGTAAGTTTTGTTGTACCAAATGTAATCAGGTGTTCAAAAGCAAAATATTACTAGATAATCACGGAATTAGAAAGCATGTCGAATCTATTCAATCAATTTCATCTAAAATACATAAATGTACGATATGTGATTTCAAAACCGCCTATAAATGTCATTTAACCAGACATATGTTAACACACACACAACATAATGCTTTTTCTCCTGTGCACATTTGCGAGTATTATCATTCAAAACAAAGCAATCGCTCTTTGACCATATTTTAAAAAAACATCCCAACCTCAGCAGGACAGTTTCTAGTAAGATATATGAATGTATATATTGTGCACTAAAAACAACCTATAGGAGTAGTTTTATGAAGCACATGGCAAAGCACAATACAACAACACAAAAGACTTTTGAGTGTTTAAACTGTGATGCTTCATTCAAAACTAAACTGGGTTTAGGCAAACATATTTTACAGAATCATTCTTACTTTGCGGCATCTGTATCTTCTAGGATCTATGAATGCACGCATTGTGAATATAAAACAACATATGTGCAGAATTTAAGCATGCATATGATGAAACATTTCGGAACGAAGTTCACGTGTACACAGTGTGATGCGTCGTTTATGAAGAAAGTTTCGTTGAAAAATCACATTTTTCAGAAACATCCCGAGTCTACCGCTTCTATGACGTCTAAGATACATCAATGTATAAATTGTGATTATAAAACTACATATGGGCAGCATTTCGCTTTGCATGTGATGAAACATACTAAAGTTAAGCTCAGTTGTACAAAGTGTGATGTGTTATTTACATCCAAATGCGGCTTAGATAACCACATTTTGCAGAAACATACTGAATCTACTGGTTCTGTGACTAGGAAGATACATGAATGTACACATTGTGAATATAAAACTACATACGCGCAGTATTTAGCTAACCACATCATGAAACATACTGGAGCTAAGCTCGCGTGTACAAAGTGTGATGCTTCATTTACAGGCAAACAATCGTTAGATAATCATACTTTACAGGAACATCCTGAGTGTTCTGCATCTGTATCCAGTAAAATACATCAATGTATACATTGCGAATTCAAAACGACACACAAAGGCAAATTTACTAATCATGTGAGGAAACATTCACAGTCATAGTCATAAATATAAGTATTGTTACTTTTACTGATGAGTTATTATGAGCACGCACAAGAAACTAAAAAAATCTGGTTGAGATCACATTTCACTCAATGCGTCAAATTGTAAGTTGTTTAGATAACCACTCTTTACGAAGCATCCTGAGTTTACTTCTTCTGTGTCTTGTGAGATCTGCGAATATTGTAACGTGACATTTAAATGCAAATCGACATTTGAAGATCACGTAATAAAAAAACGTGCGGTTATTATTTCATACATGACAAACCGAGTGGTTACCAGTTGGAGATTGATAGATAGATTTTCTTTATTTGCTTAAACAACACTTATATGTTTTAGAATTGTCAGATTAGAATACATTCCTTATAAAAACGAACAAACAGAATAAAGTTGATCATAGTTGTAGTCACCGCTCTTGGCGGGTCAAAGGAAGACTACCAGTATCCATTTATACATATATCTCCATCTCCCTCATACATACACATGCAACCTACCCCTGTAGTGTGTGAACGTTCGGTAAGCTCGAAGACATACGTTTTTTTATTGTCTCCGTCTCGAAAACTTTGTCGTTACGTATGAGTGCTCTTCAATCAAATTTGTCAGAGAGACAACTTACTTGACAATTTCAGTTGTCAGTTATCAGTCTTCAATATGAAATTGTACAATGTCCGGAAATACGATCAATGGAGAAGGCCGACAGCTCGTGCTAAATCCATTACAGTATTCTCAGGAAGAGAATGGAAACAGCGGTCCCCTGTGTTACCCACTTCATGCGTACTGGTGAGAGTAGCAGATGCGCTGATCTGCTTACTTATTTCATATGGCATTGATGACGTAACGCCAAGAACGGTGACTACAACTATATCTAAAAGCATACCCATTTTTAATTCATTATTCTTTCCCTACCCTGGTTTGCTTAGTGAACCAACCTATGCAACTACAAAGTGCTGGTAAGTATTCATTTATATCAAAAACAAATAATTCTTTAATAGATGTTAGAACATTTTTTAGTTCAATTCGAAACGTATGAAAAGCAAGCAATCTCATCCTGATTGGAAGGTGATTGTACAGCCTTATTGCCATAGTTATACAAGTCCCTGTTTCTGGTATTATGGGAGTGAGCATCTTTTCAAATTGGGCTGACGTAATGTGTACGAGAGGGAGAAGCGGCCGAAATGTATGTTGGAAAGAGTGCGCCGATGGCGTCCGTGACTCGTCATCCGTCGCTAGCTCGCTAGGCAATGAGGTGATTCTCTTTCTAACACACGTATTGCACGCTTCTCGTACCCATACGTGTAGCTAGCAGAAACATTTTAAGGTATAAGAAAATAAGAAGTTGCCGACAAAAATCAAACTTGAATAAATTGGAGACAATAAAAAAACTAAAGAACATTCAATAGAGTTTTGAATGAAATTTGGAATATGCACCTTACAAGTTACGTCGATGTTGTTCTATGGAAAAATGGAAATGGCAGCTTGACAGCGGTGACGTTGAAGAAAGACAAGTGACACTATCAATATTGACAGTGTTGCCGGCCGTTTTTTCACCACGAAAAACGTTGCCAGATTTCCTGTGTTGCACCTCGTCAGTGCTCAGTTGACCCCACGTGGTTCTTCATCATCCATAGAACAAATAATTCGATTATTGTTACGTCGGTAACACTCAGGAGTGTGAAACTAATATGGGCGAATGGGAAACAAAGCAGTGTTGCTGGTGCACAATATGACAACCATGTCGCACCCTCAAAAAATGGACGCATGCAGTGTCATTGTGATGGAATTCGACACAGTGTTGCCAATGTCAATAACTAATTCGTCAGTGCTACCAATCGTTAAATAAAACGTGACGTATGCACGTATGACGTATGGGTGAAGATGGCCGACAGAAATACGTTTTTGTTAATCAACGATTGCAATGCTGACAAATTTATCTATCTATGCCAGGCAACAAAATTGATGAAAAGTGAAGTTCCGTGCAGTGTTGTCATATTTTTTGTAAATAATACCTATCTAACCTAGAAAATCGTAGAAAAGTTACATGCTTGTTTTTCACTTTGAATTTTTAACAATACAACATGGACTTATTTGTAGTTAATAGGTAAACTGTGTTAACATTTTTTGTTCTTTTTTCTACATACCGTAACTTTTAGGGTCCAAACAGAACAGAATGAAACTAATGAAAATGAAGAGCAAACGAAATTAGATAAGGTTTTAAAGAAAATCGAGAGAAATAAAAAATTACGGAGTAAGCAAAAAGAAAAACAGAATAAAATAAAAATTGCCAAACAAAAAACAATAGAATCTAGGCGAATCAAACGAGAAATAAAGGCTAAGATTGTACCTGTGCCAGAAAATGACAATGATAACTTTATCGATAAATCTGTGGAGGGCTTTATAGACGAAGAAACAGAAGATCAACCAGCATCAAAAAAGATAAAGATAGATCCAAATGATTTAGGTTTCACAATATTAGGAGCAGATAATCTGGCAAAAAAAGCTAAGGTTTGTTTCAGGTTATAATATTTTATTTGAAAATCTAGATAGATCTGTGTTACTAAGCTGAGCTTGAGTAGTGTTGTAGGCTCACTGTATGTGATTGTGGTACACTTATCAATAGGGAAAAAATTAAATAATGAGTTTTTGAAAAATATTTTTAGCAACACTTCATTATGTATGGTTCCCTGGCTGTTCTTTTGAACATTGTGCAATATTTTCATTGTAGAGCTTTGCTAAGAATACAGTAATGGACAAAAGTATATAGACAAATATGAATATTTACCTAAATACTTCTAGAAAACGAGATCATACTTCATTGCTCCATAAACGAATGCGTTATTAGTAGAAAACTAAATTCCTTGTTTTTACATTATCTGCAATGAACACAATACAAGTCTGAATATAAGCACTTTTTTATGAGGGACAAAAATATGTAGACAAATTCTTTTCAACATTAGTTTAGAGTAATTTTAGGACCATGCCGCGTGTCCAGAAATTTCTTTCAATGTTTAAACTAAGATCATTGAGTTATACAAAGATGGTCAACGTCAAGTTGACATTGCCAAAAATTTGAAGCTGAAGTGTAGAGCAGTTTGGGGAATATTGAACAAATATAAACAAAAAGGTATCTTGAAAGCCTTTAAGAGAAGTGGTCAGCCTAGAAAACTAAATGCTAGATCAGTTAGATTAATAAAAGTAATTTCATCCAAAGATCCGTTTAAAATCCCAAGACAAATAAAAGCAGAAATCGAGACAAAAGGAATTTTCAGTGTTTCTATGAAAACTATAAGTAGAAGATTTAATGATTTGAAGATCAATATGTTTGGATCAGATGGTGTTATTACATTAGATGTCCTAGTGGACAAAGATTGAACCCCAAGTACACTTTGCCCACTGTCAAGCATGGAGGTGGGTCTGTTATGGTTTGAGGGTACTTTTCGGGATTGGGATTGGACCTTTACATAGAATAGATGGCATTAAGGATAAATTTGTATACACAGACATACTAAAGCATCTCATGTTACCCTATATGGAAGACGATATGCCCTTAAGATCAATCTTCCAGCAAGATAATGACCCGAAGTGCACTTCAAATCTCGCAAACCCCATTGAAAATCTATGGGAATACTTAGATAAGCAAATACAAGATAAAAATTATTCAAACATGGATTAACTTTTTGCCGCTTTAGAGCAAAAGTGGAGCAGATTGATGAATCTTATATCAAGAAACTTCTACAATCTATGCCAAGACGATGCCAGGCAGTGATAGATAATAGTGGTTATGCTACAAAGTATTAACAACGTAGTTGGTTTTCTATAAATCAATGAACTTTGCTTCTTTTTTCTATAATTGTTTTGTTTTGTCTATATATTTTTGTCCTTCATCGTTCCAGTTTTTTTCAATTAATTTTTTATTGAAGGGAGTCTAATGAATTTATTTATGTATAAGTGAGTATTATGCTATAACGAATTATGTATACAGGTTAGTGTATTAATAAAACAAGTTAAAAAAAAATACAGCACAATATTAATTTGTCAATATACTTTTGTCCATTACTGTATATCAGACCCAGTAACATTTGAAAAGCCTCCCAACACTATCTGGAGGGTAAAGAAACATTTTTTTTATTTTTATTATCATGGAATGTGATATTTATTGGCCATGATTATTGATGTATAAGGTTACATTGCAATCTGCTGACACTGACTGAATTATCAGGAAATACTGATGGTACTGACCACAGTTTTGCCTTGGATCTAAAGATAATTTTGTTGATTTTTCAAAATTCTTTAGAGTCAAATGTTTTTTGTTTTAATGAGTGATCTTATATAAAATCAAGTGCCTTGAACTGTAAAATTGATTAAATTCAAGTCTGACACCTTTAGATAATATAAGTAAAAATCATAACACAATCTAAGAATATCCTTATTCATTTGACCTTGAAGAATGGAAGAATGACAAAAAAGTCCACAGTTAAAACTTAAACTATCAAACCAATTTTGTTTTCATTTTAGCATATTTGATTTACCAATGAACTATTGGTACATTTGTAATGATGGAAAGTTGTTATTGTTCATTAATTGATCATACGTGAATTTAGAATATTTCTGGTTTTGTGATTCATGTCTATTTCGACAACCTCTTGTTTGTATATTATTGATTGAAGTGCTATTTCAGGTTAAAAGAGTACTGCCCAAATGGCTAGCCAACCCTACAGCAATTTCTGGAAGCCTACGAAATCTTGAAACCAAAATATCAGAGCTGAAAGAACTTGATAAAGGTTTAAGAAAACTTCTTAGGGCAAATGGAATAGAATACTTATTTCCTGTACAAGCTACAGTTATCCCGCAACTGTTGAAAGATATAAAAATATCTGATATTTTGTTTCCTAGAGACATATGTGTGTCAGCACCAACAGGTATTTTTTGCTATAAATTTGTAATTTTTAAATTAGATTTAGATATATGTGTGTCAGCACCAACAGGTATTTTCTGCTATAAATTTGTAATTTTTGAATAGCATTTGGTGATTCTTAAGCATAGTGAGAACATTTGGTGTGTTGCTGCAAGGCTCTAGGATACTACAGGCAGACTACGCTGGATCTCCAGTTCAATTTTATTGTAATTTATTCATTCATTAAACTTTGATACCTTAAATATGTTTTTTCTACAGATGGTTTCTTTATTAATTATCATTTTAGGCAGCGGAAAAACTCTGGCATTTGTATTGCCTATAATTCAGTCACTGAAAAAGCACTGTGTCAAGAAAATCAGAGCTTTAGTCATATTGCCTACAAAAGACCTGGCACTACAAGTTTATAAAACATTCAAAGCTTATGCACAAAACACTGATATTGATGTGTGTTTAATAACAGGGAACCACCCTTTTAAAGTTGAACAATCTCAATTATTATATGACAGTAAGTATTTCACTGTTATTCCAGTATATATTCTAAGATTTTTCTTCAAACTTAGTGCAAATATTGTCATCAACATTCAAATGTACTGCCCCTAATATCAACTCAACATAAAGAATATCCCTACTGATATTATAAATTAGAAAGTATGAATCAAATTTGGTAACGGGATAGATTTTAGTCTTGAATAGCACATACGCTGCTTTTTATTCTGGGAAATAACTTTGAAATATCTATTTGACGAGCTACACCCCAAACAGCTTCATGGCATTTGTCTGACGCGGAAGCGTTCAGTCGCTGGTCTGACGAAAATGAGGAAGGCTATATAAATAGGGCATTGCATCCTGCTTTTACTGCATTTCGTCATTAGTTTTATTAGCGCTAACGTCTTGTTTTGTATTTTGTTTTACTTCAAGTATAATGCTATGAATAAATAGTTGTTGGGTTAGGATATGTTGAGATATGCCTTACTTGTTAATGTCCATTGCCACAGTAACTACATATTGCATTACTTTGAGTATTGCATTTCTTTTTCCAAAACCAATCTCTTTCACATTAATGCATTAGCCATACTTTACTTCTATGCAGGTGGAGCATCAGATTTAGGCTAGTTGAGAATATAAATCTAGCTTTTTATTTGTTTGTTGCATATTATTATCCTTACTAGGGTCATTAATTTATAGTGCACATTTACATTTTTTTGTGATTACTGCATTTAATTCCAGATAATTTCTTTGGCTATGTTAGCAAAGTGGACGTATTGGTATGTACAGCAGGGCGTTTAGTAGATCATTTAACAATGACTGAAGGACTGGATTTGAAACATTTGGAGTACCTTGTCATTGATGAAGCTGACAGAGTTCTGGAGAATGTGCAAAATGACTGGCTGTACCATTTGGAAAAACATCTGAATGAGGGTGAAGAAGGTATGCTCCATTATACAATTTCCTATTTATTATCCAGTGGAATTGTTTGTTTGTGTCATGCTATATCACCTTTACTCATATCTAACGTTGATTTAGGTTTAGCCCCAATTTTAAATTGCTGAATCTCGCAGTGAAGAACACATACCTACCTGTTTCAAGACATTTATATACATACTTGAAAAAGAAAGCTTCTGAAAATACCATTAATACACTATGAAGGTTCATACACGAAAAAATGTCTAAGCTGTTCAACTGTTTTTTGTGATGCATTCATTTCAATCGAGTACCCGGTAATCGGTATTCAAATCTGACCGAGTACCCAGTATTTTTTGAAAAGTTCAGCACTTGGTGCATCCTTGATTAACATCTTAATCTGATATTTGAGGATCCAGCTTGTATCCAAGCATCTTGTACCCTTTTGTTTACACTTTACAGAAGATCTTCCGAAACTGGGAACAGTACTGAACCTGTCAAGCCTTCAGAGGCGCAGACCACCTCAAAAGCTTCTTTTCTCTGCAACACTCTCTCAAGATCCTGAAAAATTACAGAAATTATCGCTTTTCCAACCCAGACTGTTTACAACAGTGGTGGAAAACGCTGAGGCTGGAACTGCGACTATGAATGATCAAGAAACTGGTACTTTTATGGGCAAATACACAACACCCAATGAATTGAAAGAGAAATACATTGTTACGACACTAGAATTGAAGCCACTGTGCCTATACAAATACATAGAAGAGCATGACATCAATAGATCACTTGTATTTACCCATTCAGCAGAGAGTGCTCATAGATTGGCGATTTTGTTAAGGTCACTCTTTAAAGATAGAAGGAAAGTTGAAGATATTTCGTCACAATTACCAGGAAAAAGTAGACCTCAATTAATAGAGAAGTTTTCGAGAGGAGAGATTGATGTGTAAGTAGAATATATTCTTATTTCGAAGAAAAACAATAATTGTTTTAAACTTTTAAGATTTTAGAGATAAAAGACAAGAATTTTAGGTTACAAAGATAGAAAAAAATTAGTTCTCAGCAAAGATCGAATTTTTATTCGTTTGATTGGTTCATGTATCTCCGATAAGGTACCATCTACCTAGTCATTGTTACTTTTTTAATATCTGAAATTACATCCATCATTCAACAGTAATGCGTTTATACTAATTTTTTACTTCTTACGCTACTGGTGACGAGGTATTCTAATCGCGAAAAATTCTGAAAATGAGATATTGTTTTTTGGATGTTATATGACTTGGGAAGCTTTGTAGGGCTTTGAAGTTTTAGGGGGTGAGGTATATCTCAAAGTTTCGATATTAGTATATTAATACCCTTTTAGCCATGGTAATACTACGCTGTTATTAGACGTATTTCGCATCTCATAAATTTCTAGTTATGTCATTAAAACATTTTCAGCATCGTTTAATAATTTCGATTTTGTAATTTTCAGATTAGTATGTACTGACGCTCTAGCCAGAGGAATAGACTTGCCAGGTGTAGAGTGTGTTGTGTCATATTCGGTGCCAAAGCATTTGAAAACTTACATTCATAGAGCAGGAAGAACTGCTAGGGCCGGTGAAGAAGGTTTGGCGGTAACGATGCTCACCAAAAATCAGGTTGGAAAATTCAAGAGTATGTTGAACCAGGCTAATAAGACTAATGTTGAAGAGGTGCGTTTTTTGATAAATTGTGTTGACATAGTATATCTGACATTTAATCCTTTACAGGTTACTATACAAGAAGAGGATCTGGAAGATTTGGGAGAGCAGTACAAAGATTCATTGAAAGAATTGAAGAAAGTGGTTGAGAAAGAAGAGCAAACGAATTTGCAAAAAACTTTGTCAGCGAAGAAGATTAGAAGAAAGAAACGAAAAAAGACTAATACTATTATTTCTAGTTCTGTTAGCAACCAATAAATTTTACAATCAATATTCGATTCTATTTTTATACTGAAGCGTTGCATTTGGAGGGACACATTATTTGTTGAAGTAACACCCGAGACGATGGACGAGGGTGACGTGCTTGGTGCATTAAAAAACCTCATGGTTGCTTTTCACTTTAGGGGGGTGAACGTGCTTGGGAGCGGGAGTACCTACCCCATGTTGCCTGCAATCTCAGCATGCAGGAGCGTTCAGAGTAGTACTCGCTGTATAAGAATGTGGAAATGAAAAAAAAAAAACGAAGTGTCACTTGGAAGACAAAATATATCGTCATGATTGTAATTGAAAAAGGCCATCATTGTGGCTGAAACGTCGTGGTCAGTAAACTTTTTCATGCATACGTATGTGGTTTCAATCTGCTATACAAACGTGAAAGTTGTTTATTCATCCAAGAATACAAAAATAGTTGTGGAGACTAAGAGCTCCAGTAACTCAAAACTCAGGTGAAGCCCAAAATAATCCCAAACAAATAAGATACAATCTCTTTCGGTATTTTATGTACTACATACGACAATGAGCAAACAAAGTCCCATGCAGGTATCACTATTTAAAAAAATGTCGACTATTATTTTCACAAATGGCGACCGAAAAGCCGAACATATTTTTAGCTTGAGCCTCCTAAAAAGACTGGACTATAAAAATCCAAAATTCCCCTAGACGACGTCAGTGATCCACTGACCTGACATTTGACATATGTCTGGATGCCTGTCTCAGAATTTTGGGATCTAGCCAGAGAATTCCCAGTCGCAATTTTTTAATTAGCTACTGCCAAGAATTTCCGGTGCATTTAATCCAGTATGAACAATTCAAAGGTAACAATTCATCATTTTACGTAGTTTAAATTGTGACACATTTTTGGATGCTGAAATTACTATCTACCTATATCTTGACATGCCTTTACGTAACACACATTCAAACAGCTTTCAAGGTTTAATAATATCGTTCAGAACAGCCGAAATGATAAAGTTTTGCTGCCAGCTTACGTGGCCCCCCATTTATTGACCAGCTATCTTACGATGACTGAAAAAAAGATCGGTTATGTAACACCCACATTCTTTGCAGAAAGTCCTTGCTCTAGCAAACGCTACCTACAGGCAGTTGGCCAGGAATGCTTCAACTGGTAAAGAGGTTCCTCCAAGGTGGGAAAGATTCCAAAAAGTTACAAAACACCTCCAGGTATGTATGAGGGGTGTTCAGTGAGGTGGTAGATTAATATTGTTATGCTTTATAGATGGATGAATCTGCACCAGTACACCTCAAGGGTGGACTTGGCGATAGGTTCTTGTTTGGATCCACTGTAGCCCTAGTCATGCTTGGACTTGGTCTGTCCGCCGAAACAGTGTACACTCTTATATTCAAAAAGTGAATGTTATGATTTATGTTTGTAGTGTGAATATTGTAATGATTAAATAAGAATAATACCTGTGAATTAATAAAGTGAATATAACTATGACACTTAATGATCGAGTTATGATTTTATAGCACAAAGCATCTAAAAGTCTACTTGTTCCTGTGAAACATGAATGTCTAGTGCTTAACAAATCTGAAACGTGAAATACTTCGTCTTTTTTAGTTAATTGTAGCCTATTATTCTTTTCACAGCTTTTGGCAGTTACGTATTGTCTATGGGTGACATCGATGCCATGCAAACTAAGGCCCGTATCGTCAGTCGTCCCTACAATTGTAGGGCGCCTTTATGGCCTCCTTGATTGTCATAGTTTTCTACTTCTCCGTGTCAGCGCTCTATTTTGAGGTTATGTCACAAACATCTATTTGCATCAAATTGTGCTTGCTTTTGAGTTATATCATGTGTTTATCAGCCTGAAATTTCCTACAATTTAAAAAGAAAACATATCTTCACAATACGTCAGCGCTCTCCTATTGTGAAGATATGTTTTCTTTTTAAATTGTAGGAAATTTCAGGCTGATAAAACATGATATAACTCAAAAGCAAGCACAATTTGATGCAGAGATGTTTGTGACATAACCTCAAAATAGAGTTCTGACACGGAGAAGTAGAAAACTATGACAATCAAGGAGGCCATAAAGGCGCCCTACAATAATTGTAGGGACGACTGACGATACGGGCGTAAGTAAGAAATTACACTCTGGTCATACTAACCAATTTTAAACGCTGCTGCTCTTGCACACATGAATAAATTATTAAATGAACATTCCCAAAATACTCCCATGATGTTGAAAAAAACCATGGATATTTTCTGTTAGTTGTAGTTTAATGTACTACTTTTTTATATTACTTATAGCACATGTTATTTGGGTTGTCACAAGATAATTTCAAACATAGATTAGCAATACCTACTCATATATATAAAAAATCGAGAGCACTTGTAATAAAAAATACTCTGACACTTATAAATTCAAAGTTTTATAGGATAAAATATGATTTTACCTATTTATTTTATGCTTATGGTATTTCTCCCATCAATTGAAAAAAAGCAATATTTTATTAAATAAATATATTTCATAGCTATAATTTAATCTAAAATTACACGATCATTAATTGGAGAACTATGACTTTCGTTTTCTCTACTATTTATTGATTTATTTATGAGCTTCGCTGTCCAACCGGCTTCTATCTCTTTCTAACTCATGTGCCTATACACACTTCTCTCTCGTACTCATTGAACTCGCACCGATTAGCCAAATTTGGTAGCCACCGCATGTTGGCGAGTAAATTTTCAAGGTGGCTAGACGAAGCTTAAGCTTAAGCTTACATAAAGAGGCATATGCATGTGTGAGGGAGATGGATGTATAAAGTGATGTCGGTAGTTTTAGTGTGGTCCGACACACTTTATAAAGTTAATTTCATTGTTCAGTGTAAATTACTTAGAGTTATATTCCATATTCTAGACGAAAATTCATTCACAAATAATGACGTTTTACCCCAGACGATCGTAAGGCGTAATTGTTTACAAATGACTTAATGTAAACATATTATGCAGCTTAATGTAAAATGTAGCGCCGATTTCTATTTCAATCTCCTGAAAGACACAGGACACAGCACATAAAAATCTCAGCTCAAGCGGAAGATAAATCTTTTAAATTATAGAAAAAATGCATATTTTCTCCCACTGTTCATAAATATAAACAAGACTTTAGGAAACTTATGTCTATAGCTAAAGTACAGTATGCAAAGAAACAGCTTTTGTGTTGGTTTTGTACTTTTTTAACTTCATTTAAGGATAGTATGCTATAATTTCATGGTATACCGTTTTTGTAAATCGAATTAGTACTTAACTATAGGGGCTATAGGGAGAAAGATGGCGTGAAGGTATACTAGTCACTATGAATGTTGATCTATACCGTTATATTTTTTCGCTGTTCTGTGATTCCTTTCATTTCCCACACGTCGAGCTGTCTCTTGTCATTCGTCATTCCGTCAACATCTGTCATATTTTGTGATACAACATCCATCCCTTTTTGAACAAGGAAGACTTTCAGCTGGATGATAAAATAAACACTGAATTTTGAATATAAGTAATAATACAAATAACAGAAAAGATGGAAACTGAAAAACCCGCCGATCTGGGTGACAAAAAGTCGTATGCAGGTATCCCAGAGGCAGAGTTTGTCGTAAGTTTTGACCATTACCTTTTTTGTACATGGCTTCTTCAGCACATAACCTATATTTAACACATGAATTTTCTTATTTCAGGATGATGTAGATGCTTATATGGCTAGAGCCGAAAATGCAGGCACCGTAGAATCAGTTTTGAAAAAATTAGATTCACAACACGCAAAATATAAATTCATGGAGTTCAACTTACTTTCAAAGAAAAAAAGGCTACACACCCAAGTACCCGAGCTGAAGAGATCACTATCCATGATCAGTAAGTTGGAACAGGAAAAAAAGGAGTTCGAAACGTTATTTTTCCTAAGTGAACAAGTTTTTGCAAAAGCTAAGGTTCCTGCAACAGATACAGTCTTTTTATGGTTAGGAGCAAATGTGATGTTAGAATACAGTTTAGATGATGCTAGGAAACTGCTGGCACAGAACGTGGCTGCAGCTACAAAGAATCTAGCTCATGTGGAGTATGATCTCGACTTTCTAAGGTATGTATCATTGTATTTCTACTCAACTTTATAATTTATATATCAATATTGATCCTGTCACCTTTATGGTGCTGTCATCCTGTCAAGCAATTACCATTTATTTATTTAAATAATCTATTTCTAATCACATTTGTCAATACACACTGTAAAAACAAACAAAAAGAAATTTTTTCAAATACAATCATATACAGTAAAGGACAAAAGTATATAGACAAATATGAATATTTACTTAAATACCTTTAGAAATCGAATTCATACTTCATTGCTCCATAAACAAATGGGTTATTAGTAGAAAAACTAAATTCCTAGTTTTTACATTATCTGCAATGAACACAATTCAAGTCTGAATATAAGCACTTTTTTATGAGGGACAAAAATATGTAGACAAATTCTTTTCAACATTAGTACAGTTTCATGTCAGAAGAGGATTAGTTTGTGTTCATCAAGTATTGTGGAATAAGTTGAGTGATTTTAAGACCATGCCCCGTCCCCCCATCCAGAAATATCTTTCGATGTGAAAACTAAGATCATTGAGTTACTTATACAAAGATGGTCAACATCAAGTCGACATTGCCAAAAATTTGAAGCTGAAGCATAAAGCAGTTTGGGCAATATTGAACAAATATAAACAAAAAGGTATCTTGGAAGCCTCTAAGAGAAGTGGTCGGCCTAGAAAACTAAATCAGTTAGATTAATAAAAGTAATTTTGCAAAAAGATCCGTTTAAAACCCCAAGACAAATAAAAGCCGAAATCGATACAAAAGGAATTGTCAGTGTTTCTAGGAAAACTATAAGTAGAAGATTAAATGATTTGAATTTGCACGTCGCCCAAGTAAGAAGCCGCTAATCTCGAGGAAAAACTGTAAAGACCGATTACAATTTGCATGATTGCATCTTGATTGGAAAATCTGTGACTGGATGAGGGTATGTTTCAATGACGGATCCAAGTTCAATATGTTAGAATCAGACAGTGTTCATTATGTTAGACGTCCTAGTGAACATAGATTGAACCCCAAGTACACTTTGCCCACTGTCAAACATGGAAGCGGGACTGTGTTATGGTTTGAGGGTGCTTTTCAGGGTTTGGGATGGGACCTTTACATAGACTAGATGGTATTATGGGTAAGTTTGTATACACAGACATACTAAAGCATGTCATGTTACCCTATATGGAAGACAATATGCCCTTAAGATCAATCTTCCAGCAAGATAATGACCCGAAGCACACTTCAACTCTCGCAAAGAAATTCTTTCTGGATGAAAAAATACCAGTTCTCAAATGGCCTTCACAGTCTCCCGATATAAACCCCATTGAAAATCTATGGGAAGATAAAAATTATTCAAACAAGGATGAACTTTCTGCCACTTTAGAGCAAAAGTGGAGACAGATTGATGAATCTTTTATCAAGAAACTTCTACAATTTATTCCGAGACGATACCAGGTGGTGATTGATAATAATGGTTATGCTACAAAATATTAACACAAACGTGGTTGGTTTTCTATACTTCAATGAACTTTGCTTATATTTTCTATAATTGTTTTGCTTTGTCTATATATTTTTGTCCTCCATAGTTCCAGTTTTTTCAATTAATTTTTTATTGAAGGGAGTCTTCTAATGAATTTATTTATGTATAAGTGAGTATTATGTTATAACGAATTATGTATACAGGTTGGTGTATTAATAGAACAAGTTAAAAAAGAAATACAGCACAATATTCATTTGTCTATATACTTTTGCCAATTACTGTACATGTCATATATCCAAAAAACATAATATCTCATTACTTGCTAGTAGGTGTGTAAAGTAAAATACAATATTTTCCAAAAAATGAACTTTAATTAAGGTATTGATTGAACACTATTATACTAGATCCAAATGGCAATGGGGCAGTGGGGTCAGAAAATTTTTTGTTTTTAGAATAGGGTTGTAGTTCTTCAGGTGTGAAATAAATAAATGTTCATGAGTCATCTGCGAATATTTTGTAGAATTTTACAACCCTTTCCCCAAGCAAATAATACCAGGGCATATGGCAGTTTTCCTCAAATTATTTCATGAAAAAATTAAACTCGCAATACTTTTTTCTGCAATCATATTCATTATATTGCATGATCAGCTGTAATTGTTTACAAAGCCAACCAATAGTAAACCTACTAGAACACAAGAAAGGTGATTCATCATGCATTTATCGAAACTGATTCCAATTTTTACAAAATCAACAATGTGTTTCTTCGCCAGTATTCATTGTGCTCTACAGCCTTATGCCAGGGTACGAGGAAACAATAAAGATACGATAGAGTATTAACTCTGTTTGTCCAGAATTGCATGGGAAGTGTAGAGTCAACCTACTTGACGCCATTTTTATCTTAGGGACCAATTTACTACAACAGAAGTGAACATGGCAAGAGTCTTCAATTGGGATGTGAAAAGGAGGCAAGCAGCTAAAGCAGAAACAAAAGAGAAAAAGTGAAATTTCCCAACCTTAAAATAGCTTTTATTAAGACTTGGAAACTTTGTTGACCACTCTGCTTGCATTTGTGCACCAGATATTTTCTGTAATCAATAAGGTGTTAATGCAGCAATAAATTCTAATGATTTTTCATTTTAATACAGATATTTTGTTGAATAGAGAATGATCGTCCATTATATGTTAGTCTCAACATCCTGTATTCCACAGTTGTATGTTTTAATCTTGTAGATTTGATATCATGAATATCAGAAGGTTAAAAAATCACAAGAATTACTCACAAAAAGTTTACTGTGATCAAAATCTATATACTAGATGTTGAGCTAACTTGAATAAACTGCTTCTCTGCAAAGCAAACTCTGTTTATACTAATGTTTATTTCAGAATGTAATATACAAATTGCAATCAAAAAACGCCTTTATTATTGCTCCCTATACAGGGTCAGCACAGCCTAAGGAACAGTTTGCCATTTTGCAACATTTCTTCTTGCCTGGACAGCCATAATCTGTATAGCAATCTTGGATTTTCTGATTGATGCATAAGTTCTGGACAATATTAGGAAATGTTGTGTATACTATTGGACAAGTACCAGGTTTCCCTGAAAAGTAACATACATATCTTCATCTGAAAAACTTAGTTCCCTGTTAATATAACCATAGAAATGAAACTAACCCTTAAATAATATACATACCCTTTCTTTCAGTACACTCGTCTATAGGCTCACACAGTCTAAACCTTGTAAAAGTGCAATGGCATTCATTACAACCTTCAATCTCATTCTCACTTTCGTTACATGTTCCTGAAAATAAATTCAAATAGCAAAATCTCTATAGCGACTACATCACCTATACTATAATAAACTTGCGAAGCTAATTTCACCAGACTATAGCCTCTAATCCACTCGATGACATGGACTACTAAAACAGCTTAGATAACTAATCGGCCATGAAACTCTCCTGTCACTGTCAAAAACGGCCGCCATTCCGGCGTAGAAAGTCGTATGTAAATCCCCCCAGTACAACAATGAAAGTGGTCTTAGTGCTCAGCAGCCGGTGTTGCCACGTACGCTGCCAGCGGCCGCAGATATTTGAATCGAAAACATTATGCCATTCCGATATGATCTGGTGAACCACTAAAAAGAAAGAATATGTTTGGTCAGATAGAAGCGACGAAGTATTCTCTATCCAGTCCATTTTCAGTGTAAACACCGTTAAAACACCGCAATCAACTATGCAAGTGTATTTGGGAAACATTCTCTAACGGGAATAGTCGATGTCGTCAGATGGATTAAATAGCATCGTAAAATTAACCTTGCAAATTTATTTGCCAAACAGCTTTGCAACCTTGAACAGCTTGAATATGAAATCTACATATATTGCAGTACTGAGTATTTTCACGCTTACCTCTACTGAAGTGACAGTCTCCTGCAATGCAGTAGAACTTTTTGGTGTAAGGGTCACACTGGCAAAATGTGCAAGTATCGTACATGTATTCTCCTGCCTTACACGATTTACCTGCTAGATCTGTAAACAAGGTAACAGGAAGATATACATAAGATGTGACTCGGAAAACATGCTTTCTGTTAACGTTCTGAGGTAATATGATATCATATATGTCATTTAATGTCCTTTGAGAGAAAACATATACGGAAGATTACGCATTAGGCTAAAGAACGGCAACGCTGTCTCCTTCTCAGGTGAAGCGCCCAAGTAATCATTGAATACACAACCTGTATAATAGGTAAGGATTGCAAAGTCTGGAAACTGTAAAACTATTAGAAATAGATAAAAGAATATCTGTCTCGACGCCACTCAACATATACTCGTATACAGGGTGTAAACGTTATGGTAGTCATTATTGAAATGGGTAATAGGGGGGTCAAAACAAGTCAAAAGGTTCATATGACCCATGTTCCAAAGGCCAATAGATTTTTGTCTAAATGGCTTTGTAGTTTATAACTTTAAGTGCTTTATATCGTCCACTATCACCACAATCTTACTAATTTTTATAATCTGATCTAAAACGTTTTTAAATTGGGTAATCAACAAATAAACGGCATTAAGTTTTTCTAAGTTAAGCCAAAATTTGTATTCAGTAAACGGTAACAGTGGTTAGTTATCGTTTTGCATAGATACATTACTTTATCGTTTTGTCGAGCAGAGTATCGGGCGTGTTGTTTTGTTTTTGTTCGCGTACGTCGTCGTGTTGATTTACAGTGTTCTCGAATCAAGAGTTCGCCATGTTGTTAGTTTACGGTGAAGCTCGTCAGAATTCAAATGTTGTAGCTCAGATGTATCGCGGCAGATTTCGCCAACGGGTACACACAGACAGAAGGACATTTGTGCAAGTGTACCAAAGACTTCGAGATACAGGAAGTGTTCAGCCCACTAATATTCGCACTCGTGAAAGACAGGTTACTGTAGAGCAGGAGGGACAAATTTTAAATATCGTGGAAATCTTTGCAGATATCAGCACGGGAATTAGGCCGCCGCGTAGGACTATCGCATACCATAGTCCATAGAATCCTACGGGAAAATTTGCTTTATCCCTACCATGTACAACGAGTGCAGGCCTTGTTACCAGAAGACTATCATCGCAGACCAACATTCTGTCAGTGGTTTTTGCACAAAAACATTGGAAGTCCGGATTTTTTTAAAAACATTCTAGCGACGGGCGAATGTACTTTTACGCGAGACGGGATATTAGATTTCCATAATATTCACACGTGGGCCCAAGAAAATCCTCATACCATTCGTGAAGGTCATTTCCAACAACGTTTTAAAATAAATATTTGGGCGGGTATTCTTGACGATCAGGTAATTGGCCCTTTCGAGTTACCCCCAAAGTTGTCAGGAGAAGGATACCTTAACTTTCTAGCCAATAACTTACCAGAACTTTTGGAACAGACCTAAGACAAAATGCCATTACAACGGAGACAGAATTTGTCGTTTCTTCATGACGGGGCACCACCACACATTTTTAGAGGCGTCATTCAGTATTTGAATGAACATTATCCAAATCGCTGGATCGGTCAATATACTCCTGACCCTCGAAAATGGCCAGCAAGATCTCCTGACCTCAATCCGATGGATTTCTGGTCGTGGGGAGAACTTGCAGGGATGGTTTATGGGGCTGGTCCAATAACAACTGAAGCACATCTTCGCGAAAAAAAATTTAATGCGGCTGAAATAATAAATGGACAACTTCGAGGACCTAGAGTAAGAAGAAACTGGGTTCGTCGTAATGAAGCTTGTGTGGAAAGTGGAGGACGACATTTTGAACACCGTCTTTGAATACAAAAAAAGTGCAGTGTGGGTTTTAAAAAGAAAAACAATGTATGTATCAAAATTGTGTTCCCTATTTATAAGCGGATCTTTTTAAAACGTTCAATAAACTTTCACACACCAGGTGAAGCGCTGACACAGTTAGTGGTAAGTCCGTTTTTTTAATTGTTTGCATTTTACGAGTACATTATCAAATAATGAAATAATACGTAAGGACTAAAAATAACAAACTCCATCTTTATTCACACTGCGTTCCGTCGTAATTTGCGTCTGGCATTGCGGCGTTGTCAGACTTTATTTTACTTTAAAGTCCATTTTCTCTAAAAAATGCCGTTTTGACCCCCATGTTATATGAAACTTTTTGCTTCTTTTACCCCCTCTATCACCCATTTAAATAATGACTATCATAACCTTTACACCCTGTATAGTACCTGAAGCTTATCCTGTGGTTTTCATGCTGATAGTCCTCCATATTTGTCTGGACGTTAAATATGAGTAAGCATCATATGCTTAAGATACTGTTTACTGATGACGTTTCGGCCAGCACGGTGACAATTAGAAAGTTTCCTGTAGTCTAAAATACTGCTAGTTTCGGTTGCATCTAGTAATATAACTGATACCTGAAAGAATAAAGCATCCCACAAACCGGCGCGAAATATTCGCTTTGGCTGCGAAAATTTCGCGGCGATGAATTCGCGATCAGATTAAAACGCAGCGGTTTACGGACAGGCTCAGACTTGTGCGAAGCGAATACGATTGTTCCAGCGTTTTTGTCGCGGCGTATTTCAGTTCGCCTTTGACCGCGTTTTTGACGCCGTTCTTCAAAAATTCGCAATGGCAAAAACGGAATTATTGATAGAAATAGTGAAAAAGTATCCTTGTTTGTATGATTTGTCGAACGATGAATACAGGAATGTGAGAAAGAAAGACAAGATTTGGATGGAAATAGGAAAAGAATTAAATACAAATGGTATGTACCTAATATTTTTTATTAACTTGTTAAATAATTTACAGTCTACACAAATGTGAAAACGAACATTCTATATATTGGGCATAGGCATATCAGAATTAAAATAATTTACGAATTTGTCACGAGTAGAAAATGCTAGCCTTGCTGCCCGCCGAGGATCATTTGCTATATCAGTAAAAGCTCCAAGCACGGGTTCTGGGGGATCTAAGAATTGAAAATATTTGTCATCGCCACTTTTACTTCGTAAAAAATTGTGTAAAACACATGCCGTACGTACAATTAGAATAGTAGTATCTACTTTAGTTTCTAATGGCCTGTAAAATATTCGCCATTTTTGAGACAAAATACCAAACGCATTTTCCACGACCCTTCTAGCTCGACAAAGTCTTACATTGTATTTCTCTTTTCTGACGTCTGTTAAAGTCTGCTTATATAAGGAAATGGTCTCATAAGATATGGTTTTAAAGCAAATGCTTCATCACCAATTAAGACGTACGAGCAGATTTCATTTTGCCCAGGGAGAAATCTAGGTGCAGGGACACTCATTAACTTTGTTCAAATCGTTTTCCCATGTTTGAGGTTTCGAAAATACCCCCATCACTATTTTTTCCGAAACCACCAATATCAACACATATAAATTTATAGTCCGGGCCAACAATGGCCATAAGTACTATTGAACATTTATGTAAATAGCACCAGTAATTGGAGCCACTGTTGTTAGGTCTCTTGATTGTTACATGTTTACCGTCCACGCTGCCAATGCAATTGGGAAATCCCCATCTATTTTCAAATTCTTCAGCACATTTTTTCCATATATTCTCTGTTGGTTCTGGTAAATATATATGCTCCATATGTCTGCATATCGCTTCACAGACTTCGGTTACGATTGCACTCACTGTTGTAAAGCCAACTCGAAAGCTATGCCCAATGGTATAGAAGGTGTCACCAGTGGCAAGGAATCTATAAAAAGAATCGTTTTTAGGTGATGAAGTAAAAAAAGGTGGAAGAATATCAGAGACACATTTGCAAAATATATAAAATCTACCAAACCAAAGACCGGCCAAGCAGTGGGCAACATAAAAAATGGCAGTGGGCTGACTACATGGAATTTTTCCGTCCTTTTTTGGCATTTGCCAAAAGTCGTCTAATGTGAAAGATA